AAGAGTGTGACAGGATGTCAGTGAAAATATAAAAAGGTAGAAATTAGAGAAACAAATGGTAAAGCAGGGGAAGGAGGGGGAAGAAAACGGGACAAAAACGCTCTTTTTTTTTTTTTTTTTTTTACCTTGCATTATTACCACTGTAGTGTTTTCTCCTGGTCTAGCTTATCTTTACCTATTTACATTTTCACTGACAACCTACCACACTTTCAGCTTCTCCCACTCCTTGGAGTCTGAGACCAGCAGAGACTCCCTATGCCCAAAGAAGGGTGATTGCACCTGAAAGCTTGCTAATAACTTTTTGCCAACTACTCAGTTGGTCTAATAAAAGATACCACATCTACCCAAAGAGCTGTGCCGGTCTTTAGCATAAAGTTATTGTACACAATAAAGTTGGTCAGTCTGGGTATTTTTAATTTTGGTTTTAAAAGTTTAGCCTTAAGAAGGAAATGAAATCGATCAATACAGTTGCTGTCTTTTGCCCCCGTGTTTTCCTCTAAATTGAAATCAGTAATGTTTAGCCAAAACAATTCATAGTACCTTTTTGTCTTAAGGACTTACAGAAAATGTACTTAACAAAGGTTAGTTATTGCAGAAATAATCCTAGGTGTTTTCATAAGGGTAAAAGGAAAAAATAGACAGAGAACAAATCCTCAGGCTGGAGGAAGGAGGTACAGTCTAATGATTAGGGTGCTAGGGAGGGCTGGGTTCAGTTTCCTGCTCTGCAATGGACTTCCTTTGTGAACTTGGGCAAGGACTCCGTGCTGTCAGTTCTCCAGTTATAAAATGGGGATACAACTTACCTACTTCATGTGCATGTTGTGAAAGGAAATATATTAAAGCAGCAGTCAGCAGCTTACAGCCAGGGCCTGGATCTGGCCTGTGGTGCCATTTGATCTAGCCTGCAGACATGGGGCGTTGGCACCAGTTTGCCCCTACTGCTCTGGGGAGGAGTGCCAGCTGTGTGCGATTTTTCCTGTGCCAGCCCGGGGAGCAGCGTTGGCTGTGGGTACTTTCCTTTGGTCTCCACTGGGAAAAGCCGTGGTGGAGGCTAGGTCCTAACACGTGTCCTCCCTCAAATCTATCTCTGACATGATCTGGATCAGACTGGCCCACAGTCTTAAAAGGCTGCTGATGACTATTAAAAAATTTAGGAATTGTCCATTACTACTGGTAAGGGGGACCATGTAAGTACTTCAGAGCAGAAGACTGGTCAATATTGGGCAGGGGGAACCCTGTCAACTGCCAGAGCAGGAAACATGCCAAACAGCTTTGCCTGGAAACTTATTTATATACCTCAGTAGCCTGTGAGAGCATCACTTATAACACTTAAAGTAAAATCTGGTCCCACTAATGTTAATAGGAGTTCTGCCCTTGACTTGTTTAGACTTAATAGGTCATTTAAACTGAAGGCTTACTATTATCATCTAAATAATACTTTAGTAGAAAAATATCGAGACGAGTAACTTAATGTATATTGTTACATGTATGTTATTTGTTTTAAAACCCAGTACTCTAATGGGTTGTCACTTGTTAATGCCATAGTTATTAATCTCTTAGTTTCAGAGGAGTGGGAGTTTCAAGAATGAAGACACTTTAGGGGCTTTAACCTAAATTGTCAAACCAATAAGCAAAGACACTATATTAATATCTATTTGCATTCTTACATAAACTTTTTAGCTATGTTAACTATTTAGTTTGCTATATATGCAGTCTATTTTACACTTAGACTAATGTAAATAATGGGAGACTATCCAGACTCTATAACATGTTTGATGAATATATAAGAGCTTTCTATTGAATCCATGTTACAACATATTTTTTTGCTTTTTTCCCCACAGCCTAGTCCTATAAAAAAAGAACGTTCTCCAAGGCCCCAGAGCTTTTGTCACTCTTCCAGTCTTTCTCCACAAGACAAAATGTCTCTGCCTGGATTTGGTACTCCTAGAGACAAACAAAGACTCTCCTACGGAGCCTTTACCAATCAGATTTTTGTCTCTACAAGCACCGATTCACCAACCTCTCCAACAGCAGATGCTCCTCCTCTCCCTCCTAGAAATGCTGTCAAAGGTACGTCTGTTTCACACATTTAAATAGAAATCAAAATGATTTTTCTGTTGTCATACCTAACTAAACATGTGGTAGCCCTTAAAGATTTTGTGTGTTCCCCCTCCTCTCTGAATTTTAGTTTGATATAGTCTGCATCTGGAAAACATGAATTTTGCAGTGCTGAAATAAAGACCTTTACAATAGACTCTTATTTTTCACACCCTTGTGATCATAACAAATAGAAACCAAAATACTCTTGGCTAAAATGAAAATGGCTGATTTATTCCACTTAGCAGTAATTCTGCCCAGGTTATCCTGGGTTTCTTGGTTATTTCAGTAAGGCGATCCTAGACTTGAAGCCAAGCCAAAATTACAAATCTGAGTCCCTCAACATTTTGGTAGCTAGTTGAAAGTACTTCAAGTTGCTGTTTTGTGCAGCTTCAGACAGAGAAGACAGAAAATCAGTAGTGGACGCCCGAGAGTCCCCTTTGTGCCTGGAGACATTGGATGGAGAGAACTTCCAAATTGCTGGAGAACTACCTGTTGGTGCTAACACCCCCTCCCTTATAACATGTCAGGACCTTCCCATGTAGAACTGCTGGAAGTTAGTGAGGTGGAAGAAGGTTGGAAGGAAGGACTCAAGCCATTCATCACACATCCAGTGTTCCAGCGCATATGTAACTTTTCTGAGCCTGATGGTTTTAGGCCTTCACTAAGGAGGACAACCATTTATCTTTATAGAATTTGTCCATGAAGAACTGTGAGTTTGTGCTAACATTGCGTAATGTTCACCGTCTGCAAGTAACTTAAAGCCATAAGATACTTGTTGCCTTTTTTATTAACGTTTGTAATATTGTTTCAAAAGGAAGAGAGGACTTAATTCTGAAGAGTTTTCAGATTTGATGTTTGACATTAGTTGGTAACAATGATTTATTAATCTGTCCAGTTATTTATATAACACCTGTAACTTGGTTGGGGGAATATGAATAATCTGTGGAGTAAAAATAGTTAGCTTTCTTTTATTAATGTAAAGCTAGTCTTAAAGCTTATGAAACCCCCACACTTTTTCACTTTTTTTTCTTTCCCATAACTTCTGAACAGCCAAACTTTGTTTTTAAACTGCGCTTGTAAATGAGGGAGAAAATGTACTCCATGGCTAAGAGCAAAATACAAACTTTCAACCATGAATGAATTTGCCCAGATGAATTACAGACCCCTGATGTTAATTTTATTACATAATTTTACATTTCATTTCCTTGGTTTTTATATTAGTTTCAGTTCTCAAAAGTAATGAAGAAAGGCTCTCGTTAAAATGCACAGCATACATGGATGAAATACACTCTGTTAATTTCAGAGAACAGCAATTACATGATTCAGATGCCATGCTTGGAAACAGTGTTCCACCAGCAGCATTAGTCATGTATTGGTGACTAGAGAGTTTCCTGAGTTGTGGTTTTAATACAGAAATGTTGCCAGTTGACTGACTCCACATCTTTGTTTATCTGTCCAATTTTTTATATTTGCTCATTTGTGAGAATTTGGGTTTCTGCGTCGGTTTCAATTGGGGGCTCATTCATATTGGGAATAAATATGCATGTTGACCTTCCTGTTGGCATAATAAGACTCACAGTGTTAGGATCTGAATCTTCAGGCTGTTTTCCTTAATGATAAAGAGCTTGTGTCATATTTCTATATTCTATGTACACTTCAGTACACTGGCAGAACTCAGTGGCTAATAAAGAAAATAGTGTCTTTGTTTTGAATTTTAGTTTTCATGATAGACCTAAGGCTGATTTAGGAAATTTTACTTGTTTAGAAAATGTGCTTGAAGTCTCATTTTATTTTATATCCATGCTTAGATGCCTTCATTAATCATGGCTCAGATGAGCAAAGGAGCAGAACCATAGGGCCACATGGAACAGGGAGTTTTCCTTTAGGTCCTATCATAAGGCAGTTTGTTAGGAGCCAGAAGCCAAACAAAAAACAAACACTAAATTATTTAAAAGAGTACATTATTGTGCCATGGAGTGTGAATGCATTTTTCTGCTGAAAAACTGTGACATGCAAACTCTCTTAGACAATAGGAAATGTCATATTGAGAAACTGGACAGGGTAAAGGTTAAAGCCTCTTTGCTTCAAAATTGTCCAAGCAGTATAAATCTGCTAATGACACCAGACTACTTCTCTGGTGACGTCAGGTGCACTGTACTGAGTCTGTTTCCATGGCCTTGTCCATCGATATATGTTTAAATGGGATTGTAAAGAATGTTACCAATTTAAAACTATCCTTTTGGGTTTTTGATTATGAAAATCATTTGGACACTATCAAATTGGTAGTAGAATAAGGGCTAATCTAACAGCACAGCTACTTTCCAGTGTTCAAGAATCACCTCATAAGCAATTATGAACATATTGCAATCTGTCATGTACCTCATTTGATTTTTGTTTTTTAAATTTATCTGTTGAAACCTTCTTAACAAAATTAAACCTTGGCCCCCTTCCCTCTCAAACTGGTAAGAGACCCAGGCATGGAGACTGACTTGTCATGAGATTTTTTTCTTTCTTTAGAAAGAATTCATGGGGTCACTTCAGGTCCTCTAGCTTGGCCATCCCAGACCATAGCCATTTAATTACTATATAGGCTTATTTGAAAGTAAAGTTAGATTTTTGTTTTCCGTGCTAGACATGGAAATATGTTAATGTATGTTAATGTCCTGAGTGCCCCTTATAAGGATGAGTAAGAGAAGCATTCAACCCATAAATGACTTTGAACGTATCCCTCCCCTCCCCCTTAATTCCAGTTGTATCAGCTCCTGCTCTGTTGTGAGGCCCCAACAGCTACCATGGGACCCTGCTAGAGCATGGAGCCAGTCTATAGGGGGCCGTTAGGCTTTGGGTTCTATTTTTTAGCAAGTGGCTTAGTTTTTGAGGAGTCTCTTAATATTGTTTTGTATCCTTTGGGATATAAAATTTAATAAATCTTTTTTCAAAGCATGCGATGTACTTAAATGAAAACACCTCCCTTTAGCCCTCTGTAAGCTGGCTTCATTCGCCAGTGAAGTTCCCTGGTAGCAAGGTTCCATGGTGTTTGCTGAGATGTCACAGTGGAATGGAAGCCATCAAGTCTGAACCTTGTATGGGGGAAGGAAGGTAAGTTAAAAATCATTTATGTACTGAACACCACTTTTGCCCATAGTTTTTAGTGCATTTGGTGTCTAAAAATTAATTTGGTTCATTTTAAAATTGTATGTATAAATATTATGCAATCTGTGAGTTTCTATGTGTGCATTGCAAGTTACTGAAAAGTTTCTTCATGTCTGAGGTAAGCTTCAGTCTTTAGTTGGGTAGCCTTTCCCATAATAAGTCTTAAAATCTTAAAACTCCTCCCCATGCATTTTGTTTAGGAAGAAGGGCATGTTTACTGTCCTTGTCTTCATAAGAAAGTTGTATCAATTGCCTTAAATTTGTTTCCTTTTTATTTCTTTTTTTTTTTCAAGATTTGGTTTATTTTATTTCAGCTAAAAGCAACTGCTTATTCAGCATAAGCTGAACCGAAATAAATCTGGTTTAACCTGAATAAGTTTGTCCATGCAGTTTTTTAGGCAAGTTTGGCTAAAGCGGTTTAAAATTCTCCTGGTTCTGCTCTCTTGAGAAACCCACGATGGATGTGTCTACACGTGCATTTAATGTGCACGGATAAACTCTGGAGCTTATTGCTCTGGAGTTTTTTGTTCCCAGATGCACTGTTTGAATGTGTGCCTGGGAGCAAAAACCTCCAGAGCATATTGCTCTGGAGTTTATTTGTGCATAGCACGTGGAGCTTAGTCAGAGCAGCTCGGGCTGGCAGGGGGCTGCGGAGGTGACGTTTTACTGCACAACTCATTTGGCAGCTCCGCAGTAAGCGTCTCGTGTAAATGCACCCAGTTTGTAACCATTTGAAATTCAACCAACTTTATTTAGTTATTTAATTTTTTTTGCACAAGTCTTCAAGCCTCCCTTCTGACTTCATATGTATGCCAGTTTTTGTGACGTTTGCCAGTTTTAACAGCCATTACACTGAAGTAATAATACGGCACAACGCATCTGTTTCACTGAGCTTAATTAAACCTTGTGCAAGTGTACATTAGAAATGTTATGCTCAGGGAAGTGTTGCACCTGGGTCTTTTAATTCTGTAAAAGTTTGGGGGCAAATCTGAGCCAGGTTCCCAAGTTGGGGTGATAATGAAAATAACCAACATCATTCTGCCTGTTCCCATCAGAAACTCGTTTAGACTTGGCCATTTGGAATCCAGTTTGATTTTAACCTTCTGAATTTGTTTCAGTGCCAAGCGTGAAACAGAACAGGGCATATCCATCTGTAGTGCAAATGTTACAGCTTTAATTTCAGAAGCCCCTTCCTTTCATAGACAAACTCAGTCTTAAAACTACTTAGTCTCTTGTCTCCCCTACTGCTTTGGGAGCAGTAGCCCTGGAGTAATCCTGATGTCCTGATTAAGGGAATTTCCAGCCAGTTTAGACTTATTTATTCTTGGGGTTTTTTTAGCTTGAAGAGCTGTTTTCCATGGTGTTTACCTCCGTAAGAGGGGAGGTCGCCTCTGTTTTGCTGTTCTGACCAACCAATCTCTTTGTTTGCTGTCATGTGCTGGATTCTCCTTTATTTTAGGAGGTCTTCTTAGCTCCTGTGTCAGTCTGAATTACTCTTGAACATGGGTGACCAGAATTGTGCACTGAGTTGCAGACACTGTCACCTCAGTCTTGTACAATGGCATTGACACTTAGGTCTACTGGAAATATTTTATCTGATACATTCTACAAATCACACCTGCCTTTTTTGCACCCGCATCAGTCTGGTGCCTGATAATTGCCCTGGAATCGACTAATAAGAAGTGAAGGAAGACCTGAATATGCTACTTTCAACTGATAAGCATTTAACTTCTAGCAAAAATTCTTATTCGTTCCTTCAATTAGTTGTCCAGCTTTCAAGGTCATCAGATTCTATATGACGTGAATGCAGTATGACT